CTTATAGTGTTAAGGGAACATAATATAGCTTATGATCCGAGATGTTCCTTCCAGCCTACTTATAGTGTGAAGAGAACATATCTCATAAAGAGATGTTCCTTCCAGCCTACTTATAGTGTTAAGGGAACATAATATAGCTTATGATCCGAGATGTTCCTTCCAGCCTACTTATAGTGTGAAGAGAACATATTTCATAAATTGATGTTCCTTCCAGCCTACTTATAGTGTTAAGGGAACATAATATAGCTTATGATCCGAGATGTTCCTTCCAGCCTACTTATAGTGTTAAGGGAACATAATATAGCTTATGATCCGAGATGTTCCTTCCAGCCTACTTATAGTGTGAAGAGAACATATTTCATAAATTGATGTTCCTTCCAGCCTACTTATAGTGTTAAGGGAACATAATATAGCTTATGATCCGAGATGTTCCTTCCAGCCTACGTTTAGTGTGAAGAGAACATATTTCATAAATTGATGTTCCTTCCAGCCTACTTATAGTGTTAAGGGAACATAATATAGCTTATGATCCGAGATGTTCCTTCCAGCCTACTTATAGTGTGAAGAGAACATATTTCATAAATTGATGTTCCTTCCAGCCTACTTATAGTGTTAAGGGAACATAATATAGCTTATGATCCGAGATGTTCCTTCCAGCCTACGTTTAGTGTGAAGAGAACATATTTCATAAATTGATGTTCCTTCCAGCCTACTTATAGTGTTAAGGGAACATAATATAGCTTATGATCCGAGATGTTCCTTCCAGCCTACGTTTAGTGTGAATGGAACATATATAGAGGCTTATGATCCCAAAGAGCATTAAAATTCGCATAAAGTTCAAAAAACAATCTAACTTAAAATCGGCCTATTTATAAGGTATTTTTTCAATCTGTCATCATTTAGGTCCCCCTTAATTAAATTAAGTTTCAAAATTAGAGGAAATGCGCGACCAAATTCTTGACAAAATTAGAAAGACAGCGAGAGAATTGAAGTTTTTTTCAATTTATTTTAAGAAAAGAGACGAAATTCTTTGAAGAATTCACAAGTTCACTCTGCGGGGAGTAGATAAAAAACAAAAAAATGGAATTTGGAGGAAAAGAATTTTTATTTGACAAAAAGGAAATGGAGAGGAAAATGTGATCGGTCAATTAGAAAAAAATTTAGAAAGATATTTTTTAATTTCTAAAAAATTTATGTTCCGTTCAGCCTACTTATAGTGTGAAAGGAACATTGAGGTTTAAGAACCCTGCACCCCATATTTTTGACTTAAATTATATAGAAGGTTCTAGAGGTGGTAGAGGTGGCCTCTAGGTCTAGAGGTGGCTCTAGATCCTCTTGGAGGTCCTTCCAGCCTAAATGTAGTGGAAGGGAACATAATAAGAAAAGTTCACTCCAACTATCTTGATTTTTAATATTTCCTTTGGGTTTTCTAAATTTTCTTGATACCAGCCAGAAGTAACGGAAATTGAAGGGCACAATCTGATACATTTTTTTAATTAAAAAAATTTATGTTCCGTTCAGCCTACTTCTAGTGTGAATGGAACGGAAAATTAGACCCTCTTCGAGAGGGATCATTTGAAACTCCTAATTTTCAATGTGTTCTCCTTTGATTTTCCAGGTCTTCTTGTTAGCACCCAGAGTGCCGGGAATCGCCGAAAAATTAAAATCGAAGGTCAGAACTCGAAAGAGACGGAAGTCGGAACTAGCCCAAATTTCAAAGGCAGGAAATTAAAAAAGTTTTTGGAAGTAAGAATGGCAAGCACCCTGTGATATTTAGGACTTGAAATACTTAGGTCTCGAACTATCTTTTAGATTATTGAAATAGATCCAAGCTTGGTACAAAAAAACGTGGAGCTTGAGGGAAAAATTAATTATATGCCCTGAGGGGAAATTTAAAAAATCAGATTTCACTTAAGGGTAAATTTAAAAAATAAAAATTTCTAATTGAATTTTCAGAGAAATTAGAAATTTATTTTTAAAATAAAAATTATAAGAGACGAAAAAAATTAAATTTTGATTAATATTAATATATTCGAGACTACATAAATTTTGGGGGGAATTTAATAAATTATAAATATTCTTCAAAAAAATTCAACAAAAAATTCCAAAAATTAATTTAACCAATAACTACATACAAGGAATAAATTAATTTTAAAAATAAAATTAAAAATATTTTCCAAATTTATTGAAAAAATAAAAATTAGAAAAAAATATCCTCGCGTGTTTCCCCACAGAAAAAAATTCTTTCCATTATTTTTAGAGTAGTCGTTTTGGCGCAGAGGCGTTTTGGCGCGCGACTCAAAATTGACACTTGGGAGAAACCTAAATTTAGGAAAATTTTCTCAAATTTAGTTAACATCCTTGACTACCTCCTCCAGTAATTTCAGAATTTTTCATCAAATATTTTTGAAGTTATTGTCGATAAGCCTCGAAAGATTAGGCATTTTTCTGAAAAAATCAACATTTTTGGCCATAATTTCTGAAATTTTGGCTCAAAAATTCTGAAAATTTTGGAGAACATAGATAAACATGTGAGGGTTTTTATTGCAAAAATTTTTCATTCAAGCTTATCAATTCACTATTTTATAAGCTCGCGCCTGGACGGACCCGCGCCAAATACAGGAGAGAGAGACTTGACTTTCTTTTCCTTAAAATAGTCAATTGCAAAGCTAGAAGGATATAATTTTGCAGAAATAACTCTCATATGTTTATCTAGGTTCTCCAAAATTTTCAGAATTTTTGAGCCAAAATTCAAAAAATTATAGCCAAAATGCCGTTTACGCCGTATAAAACCCTATTTTTCGAGGTTTATCGACTATAACTTCAGAAATATTTAAAGAAAAATTCTGAAATTTTTGGAGGAGGTAGACAAGGATGTTAACTAAATTTGACAAAAATTTCTTAAATTTAGCTTCGCCCAAGTGCCAGTTTTGAGTCTCTGCGCCAGAACGGCTCCGCGCCGAAACAACCCTACACCCCTCTTATTTTTTCCTGTTCGCCAATAATAAATCCAAAAATATTTTTTTCTAATTTAAAAAATTTTAGATAAAAAAAGAGAGGAAATGGAATGTGTGGAATTATTTAATAATTAATTTGTAAGGAGATTTTGAGCAAATCGGGAATTTTTTAAATAAAAATAAAAAAAATAAAGGATTAAATTTAATGCTTAATTAACATCTTTAATGGGATAAAATAAATAATATTTTTGGTATTTAAAATATTTTTTGGATCTAATGCAAGCTAAGGATTAATGTTCTATATATTTTAATTTTAATATTTCAAAATTTTGGCATTATGTAATATTGGCATTGTAAAATTGAGGGTACTTGTGTAGTTTTCCCCCCATAAGCCACGCCCATTGTCTTCACTCTTTCTTCCTCATAAACTACACAAGAACAAATTGGGCATATTTAAAAATGGTCATATTTAAAAATTTTTTAAATACGACATTTTGTAATTGGACATTTTGTAACCTTAACTAATGTATTTTTAAAGGTCCAATCTCTGAGATCTTGGATAAATCGGAGACTCGTTATAAGGAGACTGACTTGCTATTAGAAATGCATGGGAGTGACCATGTAAGGCACAAACTCGGAATAACGGGTTGTATGCGACAAACAAGATTACTGGGATAGCAGAGCAGCAGGGCTATAGTAGGTTAAGTGGCGGCTGGGAGCGAACCAGCATCTTCAGTAAACCGGATGTGTTATCCATTACACCACACCGCCTGCTGCAAAGCCTTAGGAATTAAATAGCTATATGCTTTACAGCTTTTACGGGATTAATCCCGCTGGATCAGCTCCTTTGATTTTTGAATATCAATCTCGGGATGCGATTTTGCCGATTACAATTATCAGGAGAAAATTGCAAAAAAAATTTTTGAAGGACGAGATTTTTGAAAATTTTTAAATTTTAACTAGGATTTGTAAACAAAAATGCCCAAAAAATATTTTTAAAAATAAATTAGCCATTAAAAAATGCTAAAAGATTAAAGTCATTGAAAATCTATCGGAAAACAAAGGGAAGAAAGCTTTAAATTAAAAAAAAGAGAAAATGTGTCTGAAGAGTGGACGTCTATTACATATAATGTAAAAATATGTTTTTTAAAAATATTTTTTAAGAGAAAAATTTTTTTTGTGTTTTTAACGATTTTCTCTGCGCGGACATGTTTATTTAAAAAAATGTGAAAAATCGCCACATTTTATTTTTAGAAAAAAGAGAAAGGGAAAAGACAAGTACTTGGCGCAGGGTCGTTTAGGCGCAAGGCCATAACGGCGCAAAGCCATAGCTTACTTCAAAATGCCCGAATCTTACCAAATTTGGTATTAAACGATTCCTCTCATCGAGCTGAAGAGATTGGTACCAAAATTGATAAGGGCCAGAAATTTTCCAGCTAGTTATGGCTTTGCGCCTTTATGCCCGCGCGCCTACTTGGGCGTGTCCCCTCTCCTGTACTTGGCGCGGGGTGGTTTAGGCGCAAGCTCATAAAACAGTGAATTATTTATCTAGAAAGATAAAAGTTTGCAGAAATAACTCTCGTATCCTTATCTAAATTCCCCAAAAATTTCAGAATTTTTGAGCCAGAATTTCAGAAATTATGTCCAAAAATGTGGATTTTTTCGGAAAAATGCCTAATTTTTCGTGGGTTATCTATCATAACTTCAAAAATATTTGATAAAAAATTCTGAAATTTCTGGAGGGGGTAGTCAAGGATGTTATCTCAATTTGTGAAAATTTTCATGAATTTTAGGTTCGTCTAAGCAGGTGAAAAAGAAGTGGAAAATTTAAAAAAAAATTTTGCAAAGTAAAAAGATCGAGGATTAAAGAAAAATTAGGGGAGAATTGGGGGAGAATTAAGGGGAAAATGGGGGGAGAATTGTGTAAGAAGTGAGAAAATAGGCGGAAATTTGAGAAAAAATTGAAAAAATAATTTTAAAAAATTAATAATTAAAAAAATAATATTATGCAAAATTAAAAAAATATTTAAAAAATCCGCTTACTTTTCTTTGCATATGAGCAACACGTCGTCAAACAGAAACATCTGCAAAAAGGGGGAAATAAAGCTATGCAAATATTAATTTAATTAATTTAATTTTCCGGAAATAATTTAAGGTTTTCGGAAAGAAATAAAAAAATAAAATCAGAATTATGAATCAGAGTATTAAAAAACATTTTTAAAATCAGAATTCTGATCAGAATTTTTCTAGCAGAATTTTTCAGAAATCGGAATTTATCAGAATAAAAATTCTGATTTTGTTTTTCAGAACAAAAATGTCAAAATTCTGATATCATTATGAATTCTGATCTCAAAATTCTGATAAATTCAGAATAATTTTCAGAATAAAAATATCAGAATAATTTTCAGAATAAAAATACCAGAATTCTGATATTGTTAAAAATTACTGGGATGGTTAAATGGTGCGTTAATTTAAAATCAGAATTTTCATTTTTCAGAATAAGTTCTGAATTGTGATGATTTCTGATATATATAATAAAATTTTTCAGAATAAAATTTCAGAATTCTGATATTTTTAAAAATTATTTTAATGATTATTAGACCCTTTCTTCCCTCCCTCTCTGTAAAACCTCACTAAATTAACTATAAAATTAAGGGGTGTATTAGAGAGGGTTATTATTATAGAGACTACCCTCCTAACAAAAATTTTTTTTTAATTTTTAAAATTTATTTTCCAATCCCTACATATCGATTGTGTTGCGACAATGTTTGTATTGAAGTAAGCTGGCAATAACCCTCTTTTAAATAGCGCTGGCTCATTGCAGGACGTGGAGTTGGAGGACAGCTGCGGCTAAATTTAATTGTTATTGAATAAAATAATAAAAATTAGAATTTAAAAATAAAATCAGAATTTAAAAATAAAATCAGAAGTAAAAATCAGAATATTATTATTAAAATTCTGATTTTCTGTTCTGATTTTTTTGAAAATTCTGAAGAAATCAGAAGCAAAGTCAGAATTTTGAGAATTAAAAATTTCAGAATTTTTTCAGAAATTCTGATTTTTGGATAAATTTTCAGAATTAAAATTTTCAGAACAAAAAATCAGAATTAACAGAAATCAGAATTTTTTGAGAAAATCAGAATTTTAAAAACTAAATAAATCAGAATTAAAATAATTCTGATTTTCTGATTTCTAAATTCTGATTTTCTGTTATAATTTATTTGGTTTTGTAAATTCTGAAAAAAATCAGAAACAATCAGAATTAATAAAAATCAGAATTTTTTCAGAAATTCTGATTTTCAAATAAATTTTCACAATTAAAATTTTCAGAACAAAAAATCAGAATATTTAGGAAAATCAGAATTTTGATTTCAGAAAAATTCTAAAAATTCTGATTTTTTAAACATACAACCTAACAGCAGCAGAGCAACCAAAACCTGCAGATGAGCTAGATAATGGAGACGATGATCTGATAAAATTATTTCCATTATTATCATGCATTGGTTGTTGGTTGGACGTTAATATTCTTAAAAAGATTTTTTTAAACTAAAAATAAATTTAAATTTCTGATTTTCCAAAAAAATTCTGATTTTTAAAGTATTCTGATTTTCTAAAACTCTTATTTTCTGAAAAATTCTGATTTGCTAAAATTCTGATTTTCTGATGAATTTTGATTTCAGTAATATTCTGATTTTCTAAAAAATTCTGATTTTCTGAAAAATTCTGATTTTCTGAAAAATTCTGATTTTCTAAAAAATTCTGATTTTCTGACAAATTCTGATTTTTTGAAAATTCTGATTTTATAAAAGTTCAGATTTTCTGACAAATTCTGATTTTTTGAAAATTCTGATTTTATAAAAGTTCAGATTTTCTGACAAATTCTGATTTTCCGAAAAATTCTGATTTATTTTGTAAATCAGAATTATTCTGATTCCATTCTGATTTTTATTTCTATCTCAAATTTACTTAATTTCCTCGTCATCCTCCTCCCCGCCAGGCATAATTAATTCTTTATTATTTTGCTTTTCTTGTCCAATCAGTAAATTATGTGGGCGAGGCTGGTGTTGGTCAATAAAATTTTTTCGGCTCAGCTCTTCACTTTGAGTTCCAGCTATTCCTCGAGCTCCTCTCCTTCTCATTCTGACTGTGCGAAACCATTGTTCAGCTAAAGATTGTCTTCGACCTGAAGTTATTTCAACAGGGAGTTGTTGTTGAGTTTCTTCACCTTCTTGTTGTTGATCATTGGAACTCTATAAATTTGAAAATTCTGATATTTTTTAAAAATAATTCTGATTCTAATTCCCAAAAATCTGATTTATTTATTTACAAATTCTGATTTTAAATTTAGAAATTCTGATTTTTGTTTAAAATTCTGATTTTTGTTTAAAATTCTGATTTTTGTTTAAAATTCTGATTTTTGTTTAAAATTCTGATTTTTGTTTAAAATTCTGATTTTTGTTTAAAATTCTGATTTTTGTTTAAAATTCTGATTTTTATTTTTATAAATTCTGATGTTTTCCATAAATTCTGATTTATTTATTTACAAATTCAGATGTTTGTTTTAAAATTCTGATTTTTATCTAAAGCAGAATTAATCAGAAATTCTGTATTAATCAGAATTAACCAAAAATTAATCAGAAAATGAAATCAGAAATTCTGATTTGTATTTTTTAATTCTGATTTTTAATTTTCATTAATTCTGATTTTTGTTTTTAAAAATTCTGGTATTTAATTTTTCATAAATTCTGATTTATACACTTAAATATACTGTACATTCTCGAGGTCATACTTTGACACATAACTTTTTTAATTCTTAACCAATTTAAATAATTATTATATCAATCGAAAGCTATGGATGTGTGGATCATTTTAGCTAACAGGATTAATTTAATCAGACCATCTTACAAAAAGTTACGTTTGAATAAATGCGATCAGATCGCATTTCTATCAAAGCTCTTGACCCTAACTTTTCTAGAAAGTCGTCAAAATTTTGAAGGTAAACAAAAATCTGAAAAAGTCAGCGAACAGACCTGAAGCCCTCCTTCCGAATACAACCGCTAATGAGAGGAAAACAATGATTCCATTTTCATTGTATGTATTTATGATGAACCTCAATAGGCATCTAATCCCCGAAGGGTACCTTAGGCTTTCTCTAAGATATTCTCTCTTCAATGCAGGAAACGGCGGCCAGATAATTCGCATTGGGCTAACGCTCAATTTATGTTCTTATATACTAAGAGGGAGAAGAGTTCTCCAAATATTCTATGAGTAGTAGTGAAAGGGAAGGGAAGCCAATGTTATCCCCACACTCTCTCTCAAGTCTCCCCTTAAGGTTCTAGTTCTCCTTTCACTGCTTCCCTCTCTACTCTACACTTAGCAGGAATAGAGAGAAAGAGAGATAGTGTGTAATAATTCCTTCCATTCTCTTTCTTTAACTGTTAATCATCGAATATTTTTAACCATCTTATTCTACTTAATATATAAAATTCAAATTGGACAGCCCCTTATAGCGAATCACCTGGCCGCCGTTTCCTGCTTTTAAGAGAGAATATCTTAGAGACATACTGGGATATTTTAATTGCCGTTGGTGGCATACACCCGATCGTGGGTATGACTAAAACAATTATGTACAATGACGATTGACATTAATTGTTTCCTCTTATTAGCGGTTGATTCGGAAGGAGGGCTTCAGGTGCCGTGTTCGCTATCTTTTTCCTTATGGTGGTATTTTTTGGTTCCCGGAGCCATCAAAGTTTCGACGACCGTCTAGAAAAGTTGAAACCGTTTTAAGAGATCCTTCTCACCTTCCTTCTCACTCTACTCTACCTTGAGTCAATAGGCAATAATATACGGAGAGAAACTTGAGAGAGTGTGGGGATAACATTGTCTTCCCTTCCCTTTCACTACTACTCATCGAATATTTGTAGGACTCTTCTCCCTCTTAGTATATAAGAACATAAATTGAGTATTTGCCCAATGCGAATTATCTGGCCGCCGTTTCCCGCCTTCGAAGAGAGAATATCTTGAGAAACCCTAAGGTATTTAAACGCCGTTCGGGGCGTAGACACCTATCGAGGTGCATAAGAAAGACAATTACAAACAATGAAATGGCTCGCATTGTTTTCCTCTCATTAGCGGTTGTATTCGGAAGGAGGGCTTCAGGTCTTTGTTCGCTAACTTTTTGACATTTCTGTTAAGTCTTCAAAGTTTATGGGTCCAAATAAAATATGCTAACTAGGATCCATTCAACCTCCATCTCCCTCTCTTAGAGCTCTCCCTTCTCTGCCTATAGCAGGAAAGTGAGATAGTAATAGTTTCTTTTTCTCTGCCTATACATAAATTTGAGAGAGATAGTAATAATTTCCTCAGTTCTCTTTCATTAATTGTTAATCATCGAATATTTTTAACTACTTTCTTCTACTTAATATATAAAATTTAAATTGACATCTCTTTATTGCGAATCACTTGGCCGCCGTTTCCTGCTTTTAAGAGAGAATATCTTAGAGAGATACTAGGATATTAAATGCCGAATAAGACATTTAGTTGTGGTTCCATGGCATTTCCGCCAATCGTGGTGGACGACAAAAACAATTACAGACAATGGATATGGCCAATAATTGTTTTCCTCTCATTAGCAGTTGTATTCGGAAGGAGGGCTTCAGTTGATGTGTTCGCTAACTTTTTCTGTCTTTCTTGATGAAGTAAAGCATCTGCAGCTCTCTCCGTCAGCTAGTGTAAAAAGTTAATCGGCGGCTGAGTGCAAGCCAGCATCTTCAGTAGACCGGACTGATGTGTTATTCATTACATCATGCCGCCTAATGCACAGCCTAATGCACAGTCCAAGATATCCTCTTTCTCTAAATGCGGTTCTATTTTTTCTAGACTGCTGTTGAAATTTTGAAAATTCCGGTCCAAAAGTAGAAAAAAATTTAGCGAACACAGCACCTGAAGCCCTCCTTCCGAATACAACCGCTAATGAGAGGAAAACAATTATTGGCCACAATCATTGTCTGTAATTGTTTTTGCGTCCACCACAACGGGTGGGTAAATTTTGCCTATTTGGCATTTAACATATCCTAGTATTCCTCTAAGATATCTCTCTTAAAAGCAGGAAACGGCGGCCAAGTGATTCGCGATAAGAGGCCGGTCAATTTGAAATTTTATATATTAAGGAGAATAAAGTGCTTAAAAATATTCGATGATTAACAGTTAATGAAGGGAAAAGGAAGAAATTATTACTCACTATCTCTCTCGGATTTTTCTCTGTATTCCTGCTTAGTAAGATAGAGTAGAGTGTGAAGGGAGTGAAGAGAGAAAGATAAGAGGACGGCCATATTTATGCCAAATAAGTGGTCATATTTTCGGCCATAACTTCTTTGATCCTTAACCGATTTAAATAATTATTATATCAATCGAAAGCTCTGGAAATGTGGATTATTTTAGCAAACAGGACTGATTTGGTCAGATCATCCTACTAAAAGTTACAGCTCGATAAGTACGCGAAATCGTGATTTTTGCTAGTTATTCGGCTATAACTTTAAGTAGGATGGTCTGATCAAATCAGTCTTCTGAGCTAAAATAATCCCCAATTCAAGAGTTTCGAATGATATAATAAGTATTTAAATCGGTTAAGAATCAAAAAAGTTATGGCCCAAAATATGGCCTCAGGTCGGTCTCTTAAATAATTTTTTTTTTACTTTTTCTTGTTTATTTTGCAGTCTTTTTCGATTGGTTGACGATGAAGCAATCCTAAGACTTTGCCCAATTCTCCCCATAAAATTCACTGTTGAATCGGTGAATGAACGAGTTGCAGAATGGGAACGGCGTCTGGCATTTTTGTTGTCATTTGCTGTTTGAATATTGCCGCATTGGACAATTGGTTGGGAGAGACGCATTTTTTGTTGTTTATTTTTCAGTAAATAATTTTTCTGTTTTTTAGGACTTAAAATAATTTTTAAAATTTAATTAAATTTTATTAAAAAAAGTTAAGCTCGAAACAAGCCCAGAATAGAGGGATGTATAGGAGAAGGAATATAGGGGAAAAAGATTACGGTAATTCGAGAGATGTAATTAAGATAAATCAGAATATATCCAAGTAATCTGGTTTTTTAATAAATTAAAAAATCAGAATTTTTTGAAAATCAGAATTGAAAATTATAATTAAATTCTGATTTGTATTTCTACAAATTCTGATTTTTAAATTTTAAAAAATTCTGATTTTCATATATTTTTAAAAATTCTGATCATTTTATTCAATTAATTCTGATTTTTATTCCGGTTTCTAAATTCTGATTTTGATCTTAGAAAATCTGATATTACAAATTCTGATTTTTAATAAAAATTCTGATTTGTATTTTTATTACCGTATTTACTCTGGTAATTCCCCAGGGGGATTATTGTTTCAACCCATCTCTAGAGTGGGGAATTAATAGAGACTGGGGAATTAATAGAGTGGGGTAGAAAGAGGGGAATTATTGTTTCAACCCATCCCCAGGGTGGGGAATTAATAGAGACTGGGGAATTAATAAAGACTGGGGGATTACTAGAGTAAATACGGCAATTCTGATTTTTAAATTAAAAAAATTCTGATTTATATTCTCATTTTAAAAATTCTGATTATTAATGCAAATTCTGATTTAAAAAAATTCTGATTTTTAAATTCTGATTTTTAAAAATCTGATATTAAAAATTCCGAGTTTTATTCTGATATTAAAAAATTCTGATTTTTATAAAAATTCTAGTAGTTAACCCACAGTCGGTGTCGTGGCTTTTTACTAATCCACTACCCGTCAAGTGGTGGAGGGGTCCGACAAAAACCAAAAGGGAGAGGGAATGCAGCGGTAAAGATCAAAGGGAGTGGACACTGTCGTGGGGAAGGAGGGGTCCGATAAAAGGAAGAGAAGTGGACACCCAAAAAGAAAGAGGAGAAACCAAAAGAGGGAGTGGGTAATTTGTAATAAGCTGGTTAACGTCGCGGCTGGCAATAACACGTAATCATGTAGAACGAAATGAATGAGTGATTAATTAGTAGAGATGAGCAATTTACAAATCTTCAATGTCGAGAATTCGTATATTACTAGATTAAACCTTGTAATCCACTTCATATCAATAATGAAAGTGATTACCCAGATTGATATCTCAAGTGATTACTATACAGTTCGATTATTATGTTTTGTATCGTTAATAATGATATGATAGTGAAAGTGATTATGTTAATTAAAGTGATAGCTGATAATTTTTTACCAAATTAAAATTCTGTATTTTCAATCCCTAGTCTTTTTTTTTGCTCCCTAAAAATTTTGCCTTTGTTTTTAATACTTTTGTTTTCAGATAATGACCTTGACCTAATTAAAATTTAACTTTAATCCCTTTTTTATTGAATTTCTAAATTTTTTATTTTCTCTTTGATGTTGCCGATATTTTAAATTTATGCAAATTTTTATTTTAAAACCTCTTTGAAGATGCCGCCTATATTTTAAAAATTTTAAAAATTTATTTTTCTTAAATTTATGCAAATTAAACTTTTAAAACCCCTTTGAAGATGCCGCCTATATTTCACAAGTAAAAGTTTTGCCAAAAACTTTCATATAAATACAACGATTTTTAAAATTTATTTCTCATTTGTATTCACTTTAAAAATAAAAAAACAATTTAAAATATTTATTAATTTGCTCCTCATTTTCTCTATTTTCAATAGGAGCTCTTTTTGCTCCCCATAAATTTTTGCTCTTTTTTTCATAGGAGCTCTTTTCTCACACGAGCTTTTTTTTCAATAATGGACTATATTCCTCCAACAAAACGCGCAAGAGCGTTCTTTATTGATAACCTGCTCTCTATCAATCAATCAGGAGGAGATGCTTTACAATATATTGAGCAGCTTGAAAATACTACAAAATACATCAATAAATTCAAAATCACCAAAAATTACACAAAATTCCTTATTCAGAATATTCCTTCCGACCCTGAGGCCTTATTATCAGGAATATTCCAGCACTGTTTCAACGAAGCCATGAACAACGCAAGAAACAATGGACTTGAACCGGAGGAGCTGAGTTGCACAGTAACAAGTGAGTTATTAGATTCTGATATTTGGATACCCCTTAGGCCCTCATCACAAAACACCTTTAATACCCTGCTTAATCAATTTAATAAGGTTTCTCAAAGTAAAAAGCAGGCCGGAGTTACACTTTGGGGAAAACCCTTTTCAGTTAATGTTATGGTTGTTGATAAGAAGAATTTGGTCAATGAGAGTAACATTATTGGAGGAGCTCCCCGAAAAATTGCTCCTATTCATCACCAGATCAAGGAGAAGAATTTAATCAAAATAAACAACAACAACGATGGTTATTGTTTATTTTATTCTTTATTAGCAACACTTGTGCGGCTTATTGGAAACATGTCTCGTTCTCAATTTTACGACTATATACATGGGAGGTATGGATCATGTGGACAATTTAAGAGAGAGACACTGGAGCTGATGGAGCAAGTTGGAGCTCCTCTTGGTCGAGAGGAGTACAACGCTGAGGAATGGGTTCCTCCCGTGGTTGACTTTTGGAATGGAATGTATTCAGGCCAGTTTTGTTTTAAAGTTTTCATTTTTGATTGTTTGGGGCACTACAAACCCTGCTTCAAATATGGTCCCAACAATTATAATTCCCCATTGCTCCTCTATTTTGATGGCTCACATTTTAATGGTGTTACGAGTACAGGAGGGCTCTTTGGACAACCTTATTGTTTGGAATGTGAAACAGTATATCAGCGTCCACAACAACATTCTGCTTCATGCCGTGCACACTGTCTAAATTGCTCACGTGTTGGCCCACTTTACCCCTGCCCTCCTAGGAATAATTTTTCCAAAAAATGCAATGGGTGCTCCAAGAGCTTTAACAATGAAAATTGCTACGACCATCATCTGAGTTCACGATTTTGTCAACAGTCCAAACGCTGTGAGAAGTGTGGAGTAATTTGGGATACAAAAGACAATACAAGAGGAGGCAGGAGCGGCCACATTTGCAATGAGAGGTATTGTTCAACTTGCTCAGGATACCACGACCCAAAGCGTGGATGCTTTATTAAGCCTTTGGAGCCCAAGGAGCAAAAGCCTTACCGATTTGTAGCTTTTGATCTGGAGACCATGCAACATGTATCAGATGGAAACAACAAGAGAAATCACCAAGCAAACTTTATCGCAGCGAGAGTAACATGCCCCAAATGTATTGAGGAGGAGCAGGAGCAGTGTAAGATCTGTGGGAGCAACAGACTTGTAACCTTCTCGGAGCGCCCATTTTACAGAACACGCGTGGATCTACAGAAAGTCACCGAGGATCCAATCATCTCCTTTGTAAAATGGATAATCGAATTAACAACAGACTACGACACCATCGCCTTTTCACATTTTGGAGGAAGGTTTGATATGGTAATAGTTTTCCGGGAGCTCTTTCTTATGGGTTTTACTCCTGAAATGCTGAAGAGAGGAAATAAAATGTATGAGATGAAAGTGAAAATTGGGAAGAAGAATATGCTTATCTTCAGGGACAGTTTCAACCTGATGCCAATGTCTTTGGCATCTCTTGTCCCAGCCTTTGCTCTCGAGGTTGAGGACAAACCTTTCTTCCCCCACCTCATCAATCAGCCAAAGAATTATGGAAAGGAAGTGTTTCCCATCCCCTCAGACTACTTCGCAGATGGGATGATGCCAGAGAAGAGAAAAGAATTTGATCGATGGTATGTTCAGCACAAGGAGCTCCCTTTTTATTTGGACGAGGAGCTGGCATCATATTGTACAAATGATGTGGAAATTCTTCTAGCTGCTCTTATTGCATTTCGACGCGAGTTTATGGATGTTACAAAGAGAGCTCCTTATCAAAGAGCAGCGTCTTCAAAAGCTCACGGAGGTATTGATGTTTTAAGGGAATCAATGACCATAGCTTCTGCCTGTATGAATCATTTCAGGACAAATCACTTGAAGGAGAACCACCTAGCACTTGTTCCGGAGAAAGGCTACGATAATGTGGATAATCAGAGCCGACTTGCTCTGAAATTTATGAAATGGTATGAGGAGGAGCATGGAGTGAGAATTCAAACTGCTCATTCAGATGGAGGGGAGAAAAAAGTTGGGAATTACAAGTTGGATGGCTGGATTGAGGAGGAGCAATTAGGAATAGAGGTGAATGGTTGTGTGTGGCATGGGTGTGAGCGATGCTACCCGGAGGACAACATAGTGCTCCCAAATGGAATTTCAGCCGGTAAACAAAGGGAGAAGGATGCAAGGAGGATGGAGTACATCAAAAGTCAAGGAGTAAAAGTGCAAGTCTTTTGGGAGTGTGAAATTAGAAGTATGCTGGAAAAAGACAGGGAGATGAGGAGCTCCTTCAAAAAGTATTTGGATGATGGTCCAATTGATCTACGGGCATGCTTCTTTGGTGGTAGAACAGGACCACTTCAGCTTTTCTACTCACCAAAAGATGGAGAGAAAGTATCATACTATGACGTGACCTCCCTCTACCCGTTTATCAATGTATCTACAAAATATCCAGTGGGGCACCCGAAGGTCCATATTCTTAACGAAGAGGTTCACTGGAGCAAGCCGGAGGACAACATATATGAATTAGCAATATTGAAAGTTTTTGTTATCCCTCCGAGGAGCATTGATATTCCTGTGCTCCCAATGAAAGTAGGAGAAGATGATGAGAGGTTGCTCTTTCCTCTCTGCTCCCAATGTGCAAGGGAGCACCCTGAAGGAGGAGTAAATGAAAATTACTCCTGCCCGCACTCAGACCAGCAACGTGGATGGGTAAGTACATGCACATCACTCGAATTGAATGCAGCTCTTCAGGAAGGATACATCGTCACCAAAGTGTTCAGAGTTTTACAATACGACAGCTCCGACGACAAATTATTTGCTCCATATATTTCTGAATTTATGGCAGCAAAAATACATTC